GACGCTGTCCAGAACCTGCCTCTTCCAGCCCCGCCCGTGAGGAACTGGTGGGAAACGGAAAGGCGCTTTTGGTCTCCTCACTGTGTACGGGACGCCCTGGCCTGCCGTCCTCGGGTGTTCGGAAGCGAGTGCGTTGTACCGACCACTTCGGTGACTGGATTCAAAACGCAGCTGCTGTCGGCCTGTGCGTTAGACCCTGGTCCTGCAGGTAGATTTCCCACCAGGTGATGCCTGCTCCTCACCCTTTCCTAGATCATTCTTCCCCAGGCAGAAGTGGACATTGAAAGTAACCTACTACCGCCCGGCCGGCCTGGCTCTGTGGTTGAGCGTCGACCTATGAACCAGGAGGTCGCGGTTCGATTCCTGGTCAGGGCACAGGCCTGGGGTGTGAGCTTGATCCCCAGCAGCGGACGTGCAGGAGGCAGCCGAGCAATGATTCTCTCTATTTTTTTTTTTTATATTTTATTGATTTTTTACAGAGAGGAAGGGAGAGAGATAGAGAGTTAGAAACATCGATGAGAGAGAAACATCGATCAGCTGCCTCCTGCACATCTCCTACTGGGGATGTGCCCGCAACCCAGGTACATGCCCTTGACCGGAATCGAACCCGGGACCTTTCAGTCCGCAGGCCGACGCTCTATCCACTGAGCCAAACCGGTTTCGGCTCTCTCTCATTATTGATGTTCCATCTCTCCCTCCCTCTCCCTTCCTCTCTGAAATCAATAAGAACATATTTTTAAAAAGCAACCTGCTACCCGAAGCTAATATATAACACTGAATGTCAACGGTAATTCAAATGAAAACAGACACAGGCTCCCACGCCTGAAAAGGTTGTTCGTAAGCAGGGTGCCCTCTCGGTTGGTTTCTTTAACATGAAAAGCACACCTAGCGGGGTGCCCGGGCCTGCTGTGCCCGCGGCACCCGGACAGCTGGAGGCCAGCCGCCCAGCCGCCCCGACACTATGCCCAGCGGTTCGGAACCTGGGGTCACAGGTTCTTGCACCATAGCTGGGCCCTCGCGTTCACCACTCAGCCTCCCCGCGAGGCCCGGGAACCCACAGGCAGCTGCCGGCACGGGGAGTCACATCACTGAGCAAAACCTGGACTGGCCCGTGTCCCGGGAGACCCCCAGCTTGCTCCGGTCTCGGACCAAGATGGCCTCGTTCCCGTACTGTGAGTACCACATGCTGCGGCTCCTGCTCAGGTAGGTCCCGGGCGGCACCGATTCCAGCTTCCGCTGCTGCTGCTGCCAGATGAGCAGGGAGGTGTCCCGGTACCGCCGCCGGGCGTGGCCTTCGGACAGGGCTTTCTC